GGGGGGGGGGGTTCCAAAAATCGTAGAAAAATTGTTGACGTAATTAATGGACGACCCTTATTTAAATGTTATTGTAGAAAATAAAACATAATTTCTTCAACATTTAAAGGTAACATATTGTTTTTCCAAAGAAATCCTTTGTTCCATAATGAGGATATTATTCATTTATTTTGTAGTTTTTTTTTTTACAATTGTGTTGTCCATATCAATAGATACAATAAACCCTTTTGAACTCTTACCATTCTAGGATTTTCTTTCTTTCAAATCTGAGGTAACGTCCACTTAAAACAAAAAAATATATGTTGGGGTAATGGCTATAAAAGTTTGTTAATCCCTGATGTAAATGGTAAAAGTTGAGTGTCTTTGGCCAGTTTCCCGTCCAAACTGTCACGCTGGCCGACAGTTGGACTTGTTTCGAAATGACACCATGGAACCGTACCAGATATATTGATTATATTTTCTTTTTATTTGACGATAAATATTCATGTTATACGGCCCGGCAACGTAAGGCTGGTGGACCGGCATTGGAGAACACGTTCTTAGACTACATACATTTATTTTTATTTACAAACCTTCTCTGCCTAATTTATTTTAAACAGCTGCGCAATTACCCCCTTTCCCCCCCCCCCAACCCTTAAGAAACCAATATCTAAATGAAAAAGAAAGGACATGTTCAGTTTATTTTGTGCCAAGCTTGGAGATAAGCCATAACATGGACTCCTCACATTGTACGTGTAAGCACACGTGTTGTACAGTGCGTTATTTTGCTCCAGTCGACGAATGGCAAGGGAATCTATATTCAGTTTGGAGTACCACTGGTTTGGAGGGAATACAAAAATCACTTAAGTGAGTTCTCTTAATATCATAGCATTCGAACGAAATAATTGTGTCATTGGTTTTACCCCGATCTACCTACGGCCAGAAGACCTGTTTCGCACACCGATTTTATTTCCGTTCCATTTGTCCATGAGCACCAGGGGCATCTACACAGGGGATATATCCTTGGATAGACGCCCCTGCCTTACACCACATCTTCAGTGTTTCTTTCAGGTAACTGGCGCCCCCCCCCCACTTTCCCGCGAGAGAATGATCACACAAATTAAACGAAAAATATTTAGTTTGCTAAAGATGACGAAATTATCATTTTTTAAATAATATAAAAAATTAAAAAAAGAATAGACACTAGGGCCTTTAACCGAACACAATTAGTGAACCCATGAAATATCGATACGCTCCATGT